TCCTGGGATTCATTCTTGAATCTTCTCTGCATCTAGGAGCCAATTCTTTCCTGCAGCCTCAGGAGGTCCACAGAGTAAAGAGGGAAGCTCTGGTACCCAGCAGAGGTTCTTACTCGTCCTCTCTCTGGGTCAGTGATGAACCCTAAATGCAAGACTTTATTCTTGTCATCCAAGGGCATCCTCCAGTCTTCCTGAGGAGGGAGTGGTGAATCTGCTGCCAGGGGCTGTGAAGGTAGGGCGTATGTGTAAGTGCATGAGTGACAGTGGAGTTGGGATTGGGCCAAGTGTGTCTGGATGTATTTGAGCATTTGTGTGAACGGAAAACATGCTCCTGTGTATGACCCCTTAGCCTGTCTCCATCCCGGTGGAGAAGCTCCCGTCTGAATCAGGAAGACATGACTGTGTGCCTCCCTCCCCTACCTCTGGCCTCCCTAGGTTTCCTGTCTGGCAGACGCAAATGATCTCCTCATCTGTAGGGAGACCCCAGCCTCTGGCTGCATCCAGCCAAGACCCTGAGCATCTCCCTGTGCTGACATCCTCTGCCTCAATCACGATGGGACCCAGGCCCTGGCTCCCCAAATGGGTTCAATTAAAGAGAGAGCATGGTTTTTGATGTCAGCCACCTGGGAAATGGGGATGTGGGGTCCAGCTGTCTTCCCAGCCCCCTATTACATGGACATTTCCAAGTTCAAACAAGGTCCAGCCTCTTTCCTGTGAGTTGTGGGTCCCACATCTGGGGCTGGGGAAGGGAGTGAAAGGAAGGGGTGGGACCCCTTGGAAAAAGATCATAGCTCTTGGGGTGGGGGAGTCTTCTCCCAGAGCCAGCTGGGCGGTGCTGCCAAGCAGTCAAAGCCCAACCTCTGGTGAGGAGCTGAGCTCTGATCTTACCCCCTCAGATGTCTCTCACTTTCTGGAAAGTGGGAAGTCAGTGGTTCCAAGATCAAGGACATGTTATGGATGCTATGTATTTGCCCCCAGGAAAATGGTTTAGAACATTTCTGTTAAAAGTTAGAGAATAGAATGTTGGGGCATCTGTGGGGAGGATGCAAGGCTATCTTAGACATCATTTAGTTGCCTAACTCATTTAAGTTAGTTCAAATGGTGGTTATTGGAAGCAGACAGGGGAAACGATGGCTAATCACCAAATAGCTATTCCCTATATTTCTCCATGAGTACCACAACCCCTGGCTTTGCCCCACTCTCCCCTGCCAGCCCTCTTCCTGTTCCCCATAACTCTGTAGAGCTATGGCTACAGCATGCATGATGCATCCTTTTACCATCCCACAAAGGCTCCTGTAGTAGGTTGAATAGAGCCCCTCCACCTAAAATGCATGTCCACTGGAACCCCAGAATGTAACCATGTTTGGAAATAGGACTTCTGCAGATATAATTACTTAAGATGATGTTTCCTAAGCACATGGGACTCTGTGCACCAAGTTATGTTGGGCCCTAAATTCAGTGACTGTTGTCTAAAAGGAGAGGACTTAAAGAGAAAAAGGCACTTGAAGACACAAGAGAGAAAGCCACATGAAAATGATATGTGGTGCTGAGGATCGAACCCAGGCCGCACGCATGCCAGGCGAGCGCGCTACCGCTTGAGCCACATCCCCAGCCCCACATGAAAATGAAAACAGAGATTGGAATGATACAGTATAAACCAAACAATGCCAAGGATTGCCAGGAGCCACCTGAAGTTGGAAGAGGCAAGAAAGGACTCTTCTCCGCACTGGGGACAGTGACGTACACCTGTAATCCCAACAACTCAGGAGGCTGAGGCAGGAGGATCTCAAGTTTGAGACCAGTCTTAGCAACTTAATGAGGCCCTAAGCAACTTAGCAAGACTGTCTCAAAATAAATAATTTTTAAGAAGGGCTGGGAATGTTGCCCAGTGGTTAAGCACCCTGGTACAAAACAAACAAGAAAATTCTTCTCTAGACCCTTCAGAGAAAGTATACCTTGATTCTGGACTTTGAGCCTTCGAAATGAAGAAAACTTATATATTTTTTTGTACTGGCGATTGAACCCAGGGCCATTTTACCAGTGAGCTATATCCCAGCCCTTTCTATTTTTTTTTTTTTTTAGAAACTAAATTGCTTAGGGCCTCCCATACATGATAAAGCTGACCTTGAACTTGTGATCCTCCTGCCTCAGCCTCCCTTGTTTCTGGGATGGCTGGCATGTATCATGGTGCCTGGCAAAATTTCTGTTGTCTTAAGGCACTGGATTAGTGGTTATTTGTTAGCAGCCCTAGGGAACTAGTTGGCCACTCCCTGAAGCTGGATGCCCTTCAGCCTCTGTTTTTTAATTCCAAGGTCCAGAAAAAAGGATAATCAGGTCAGCTTAGGTCAGGCCCCATGGGACCCACAAGCCCTGGTGGCTGGAAGAGGGCAGGGGCAGAGATGTGGGTGTCAGAGTGGCCACTTTCAGCATCCCTTACTCAATCGCATCTCAAACTCAGTTTAGAAACAGGTCTCTCCAGGCGGGCCCTGGAGTCCATGCCTTCATCCCACCTACCAGCCACTGGGTGGAAGACACAGGTGGCTGCAGTCCCCTGAATGGATAAGATGAAGCCAGAAAAAAGTGCCACTCTGTTGGGTGACAGAATCATGATTCAAAAGAATCGTTGCAAGTTAAGTAGTCAACAAGATGATGATGTGAATGAAGACGACTGTAAAGGCCAAAATGCATGGGTTCAAAGAATCCATTTCAAGCAAAATACAGAGGAAGCCCGGCTTAACCCAGCCTACCTTGTGATAAAGACCCAAAGGCTTTCTTTGACCAGATGCTAATAACAACCCAGAGCCTGAGTTCACAAAGAAGCACAGCATTCTAGTCTGATCTAGAGAGGGGACAGGCATTTGGGGCTCAGAGCAGACCATACCTAAGAGAGACAAGAGATAACACTGACCCTATCAGAGAACCCGAGAGGCAAACTGGCTACCAAACTGGGTTGCATAGGTTGGTGGGGACAGGAGTCCATAGAGTTACGGATCTCCCAGACATTGATGAGTTTGGAGGCAAAGCTAGCCAACAGAGACAGTCTTGGGCCTATTCCACAAAAGTGGCTGGGGAGGCGGTGTCGGTGCGCCCCAAACATCATCATCTTGGCTCCAGATCCCGGACCGCGGTCCCCGTGCATGTGGACTTTTAAGATCAGCGTATCCTGCAGATGAGCGGCTCCTTGAGAGCCCCGCGCCCGGACCAGCCTCAGAGGGTCGGCTTTTCTGCTTCTCACCGCGTGCCCGGAGCGACGGTAGTAGCTGGGCGTATTTAGAGGGGTCTCCCAGGGCGCGGCGGCCTGCGCCCCGCCACCCGGGAGCTGTTCCCTTTTGAACCTCTCGCTTGCAGCGGCCCCTCGGGCGTCAGCTCGGAGCTGGGGCGGGGGGCCGGCGGCGGAGGAGGGGGCTGGCGGAGCCCAGCGGCGCGGCCCCAAGTTTATGCTAATCCGCGCAGAGCCCGCCTCCCGCCTCCCCTCCGCGGCCCCAGCCACGAGCAGCGCCGGCCACTCGGAGGGACGCAGCCGCCGCGAGGCGAGGCGCCAGGCGCCAGGCGGCCAAGTGAGCTAGCTCGGGGGCCGCGAGTGGCGGAGGGACCGGGCGGGCCAGAGGAGGAGGTGGCGCGGAGCGGCGCGGCGGGTGGACACACACCCGCAGCGGGCAGCGCGCGAGGCCAGGTGGAGACACGGGGCCGCGATGGCCCGCCGTCGCCTGCCGGTGTGGCTGTGCGCCGTCGCGGCGCTGCTCTCGGGGACGCAGGCCAAGGGCACCCCGCTCCTCGCACGCCCCGCGCCGCCCAGTGCCCCCCGCTACAGCCTGTACACGACGGGATGGCGCCCGCGGCTGCGCCCGGGGCCGCACAAGTAAGCGCGGGCGTGCGGCGGCGGGAACCGGGAGGGATGGGCCCGCGCAGCGCGCCTCGGCTCTCACCTGCCTCGACCCGCTTGGGGGCGTCGAGGCCCGGGCACCCGAGGCAGCGGCACGAAGGGGGCGGCGCCCCGGGTCGAAGCCTTGCAGGGCGGGCGCCCCCACGCTCCAGGAGGCTGCCGGGCTGGCGAAGGAAAATAAGCCGAGGGGGCCCGGCGAGGCGCTGGGATCCTGGCAGTGCCCGCGGAAACCTTTCCAGCGAAATAACATTTTCCAGCTGCGCTGTGTGCAAACTCCTGGGCGAAGCGGACCAGGTGGAGGGAGCTGCGGAAGGGCAGTCGGTGCCAGGAGCGCGGGGGTTTTTCCCTCGAGACGAGGCCTCCCATCTCTACCCTCCCTGCTAGGTAGGAGATGGAGCCCTGCGTTTCTAGGAGCTGCTCCCTCTCCTGTGGTCAGCCCCCAGCAGGCCCTTGGGAGCCCCGACGTAACTGGGCCACAGAGGAGATAGGGGTTACTGAGTGCGAGTTCTGAGAGAGAGGGGCGGTCCACAGTGGTCAGCTCATGCCTGAATTTGAACGCTAGTTAAATCTGAGAGGTCTTGGAGGAGAAGACTGCCCAGGCCCAGAGCCAACACTCAGTGGGCCTGAGCACATCAGAGCAGGCTTCCTGGAGGAGATGGCACAAGACCTGGTCCCAGCGAGGAAATGAGCAAAGGCAGGGGCTGGAGAGCTATGCCAGGGGAGGAAGGAGAAGCCTGGTCTCAAAGGAGCCACAAAGTCGGGATCTCCAAGCTCTGAGGCCAAGATAAACAGTTTGAAGGAGTTGGAGGGTGGGAGATGTGGCAAGGCACTTGAAGAATCTGGGCTGGGTCTGTCCCGGGGTCAGGGGGGCACCATACCAGGTTCTGTATAGTGCTTAGCTAGTGGCCAGCCACCCAGGACACAGAGACCAGAGAGAACAGTGGGACTGGGCCCAACCCAGAATATCCTGGATCCCAGGCAAGGGGCAAGGAGGATAGACAACACACGTGGGGGTTCTGGTCTCCTCCTGAGACGGAAAGGTAGAGGTAAGAGGGTAGGTTCTCAGTGGGCCTGGCTCTCTGGCCAGATATTCCAGGGATGGCGTTTTCCCCTGTAGGGCCCTCTGTGCGTACGTGGTGCGTAGGAACGTGACCTGCGTCCTACAGGAAGGAGTGGAGAGCTACATAAAGGCGGAGTACCGGCAGTGTGGATGGGGCCCCAAGTGCCCTGGGACGGTCACGTGAGTTCACCCCAGGCTCACTCTCTCTAGAGCTCTGGGCACAAGCCCAGGTTCTGCCTTCAGCTGAGAGCAGAACTGTCTCCATAAGGGGCTGCAGGCTTTAGACTCCCAAGAGCCCACCTGTTCCCACATAGGCCACAGTGGTCAGGTCCCAGAGGAGGGGCCAGGGAGGACCCAAAGGTTTTGAACCTGTGGCAGGACATCACTTAGGGAGACCGGAGCAGGTTATAGCCCTGAAACCATAGGGGAACAAGAGAAAGGTGCCTAGGAGAGAAGCAGTACTAGGCCAGAAGGAAATGATGGAGGCAGAGGGTGGGGGAGGAAGAGAACAGCAGGTCACTCAGCCAGTGGTTGATGCCACAGGGGGCCTGGGCCAAGCCATGGAAGACTGTGGCAACCATGAGAAGGTAGGCCAGAGGTAAGCATCATGCCCAGGCTTAGGCCAGAAACGCTTCATGGGAGGGCCCATGATGCTGCAGATGTGATGCCCAGTTCTCCTCTTGGAGTTCAAGTGTGCAACTGGAAACACACCTGTGCTCCAGTGTGTCAGTGGGTGAACAGGTACATGGCTGAACAGGAGGGGTCCCTCATGAGACCTGTCCCCATCCTTCAGCCTTCCCTTCCTTGCTCAGAACCAGAGTGCCCTACTACCAGCTTCTGACCAGAGGTGAGTTCCTGGAGTAGGCTGGAGAGGAACGGAAAGACTACCAAGAGCTGGTGGGAGCCAGGCATGGCCTCAGGGCAGTGAGAGGGGCTGCTGGCCCCAAATCCAGGGCACACACCTCCAGGGAGGGCTGAGGCTTCATCAGAGTTCTCTGAGATACTACCAAAGCCCGAGTGGGATTTCTTGTGGCAGCATGAGCTAAAGAAGGTCCAAGTGGTCTTGGGAAGGTTGGGGCTACATCCTTGCTAGCCTTCTTCTGCTTGCTTCTTCCCAAGCAAGCAGAAGAAGTACAGGCTTCTACTTGCATTCTCCACTCACTGAACTCAGAGCTGCCCCACCACTCCAGCCTTTTACCTTAAACACCAAAAAAGGAAAACCCAAGGGGTGGTGTGGAGGTGGGGAGAAATCCAAACTTTATGCAAGTGTCCACGGATGACCCTAAATATCAACTAGGGGCAGGATTCTCAGCTCACAGGTGCAGGACCCTCTCCCCTTCCTGGCCCAGGTATCACACAGTGATCAGACCCAAATACAAGGTTGGCTACAAGACAGTGACAGACCTTGCCTGGCGCTGCTGTCCTGGCCTCACTGGAGAAGGCTGCCCTGAGCATCTCACGGACCATGGGGCTCACTCACCACATCTGGATTCGGAACCCCAGATTCCCTCAGGGAAACTGGGCCCAGGCCCGAGGCCTCCTTCTTACAGCAGAGCAGCCCCAAGCCCTAATGGTGAGTCTGCCTCTGGACATTTTCCAAGGTGATCAGGTTTATTGGGCTCGGTGGAAGGGCAGGGAAGGGTCTGGTCCAGGCTTGCTGAGCTCTGGCAGGCCCAGAGAGGGGTACATCTCATATGAGGCATGAAAGTGAGACCTCAGGCCCCACCCCTGAGCCCAGCCTCAAAGCTGAGGGAGCCATGCCCGGCCAGAAGGTAGACTTAGATCAGAAACCTTCTTGGACTGGGCGCAGTGGTGCACACCTGTAATTCCAATGGCTCAGGAGGCTGAGGCAGGAGGATCATGAGTTCAAAGCCAGCCTCAGCAAAAGCAAGGTGCTAAGCATTTCAGTGAGACCCTGTCTCTAAATAAAATACAAAATAGGGCTGAGGATGTGGCTCAGTGGTCAAGTGCCCCTGAGATCAATCCTAGGTACCTAAAAAAAAAAAAAAGAAAGTATCTTGGGTGACTGGGTCAGTCAGTGATTCTTCTCCTGGGGTCTCTCCTCCTCTTTCCCAGGAAGAAAAGGCCCAGGGCTGTTTGGTGAGAGGCTGGAACGCCTGGAGGGTGATGTCCAGCGCCTGGCACAAGCATATGGGACTCTCAGTGGCCTGGTGGCCAGCCATGAGGACCCTAACAGGATGAGTGGTGGCCCCAGAGCTCCTGCTGCCCCTGTGGGCTTTGGTGTCATCCCCGAGGGTCTTGTGGACTCAGGAGACAGACCTGGAGGATCACTCACACCTCCCCTGGGCGAGATCCTGAGCAAGGTGACAGAAGTGAGCAACACACTGCAGACCAAGGTGCAACTGCTGGATGAAGTGCACGTGCTGGCCCTTGGCCATGAGGCCCACCTGCAGCGGCTGCGGGAAGCCCCTCCAACCCCACTGACCTCCCTGGCTCTGCTGGAAGAATATGTGGACCAACGGCTACAGCGACTCTGGGGTAGCCTGTTGGATGGCTTCGAGCAGAAGCTGCAAGGCGTCCAGAGTGAGTGTGACCTGCGTGTGCAGGAGGTGCGGCAGCAGTGTGAGGAGGGCCAGGCGGCCAGCCAGCGGCTGCACCAAAGCCTTGATGGCCGGGAGCTGGCCCTTCGCCGGGAGCTCTCACAACTGGGCACTAGGCTGCAGGGCCTGAGTGTAGCTGGCATGGGCAGCTGCTGCAGCCAGCTGGCCTTGATCAGTGCCCGTGTGGACAGCCTCGAGAGTAACCTGCAGGCAGTCACCAAAGCCCAACGGGGTCCTGGCACCCCTGCCGGGGATGAGCTTGCACACCTGTCTACTGCCATGCTTGAGGGAGGTGTGGATGGGCTGCTTGAGGGCCTGGAGGCCCTCAATGGGACAGAGAATGGAGCGAAGGGCTGCTGTCTGAGGATGGAGACCAGAGGCTGGGGTGTGAGTGGCTTTGGGTCTATGCTGGAAGAGCGGATACAGAGCCTAGAGGAGCGCCTGGCCACACTGACTGGAGAGCTAAGCCATGACAACGCCCCGCCAGGCAGGTCGCCGCGGCCCCTCGTGCAGACAGAGCTGGCGGTGCTGGAACAACGGCTGGTCTCACTGGAGACCTCATGCACCCCCAGTACCACCTCAGCCACTCTGGACAACCTCATGGCAGAGGTGAAGGCCTGGCAGAGCCGGAGTGAGGCCCTCCTACGCCAGGTGGCCAGCCACACAGCTTTGCTCCAACAGCTCAATGGTACTGTGGCCGAAGTCCAGGGACAGCTGGCAGAAGGGACCGGCAGCTCACTCCAAGGTGAGATCACTCTGCTGAAGGTCAACCTGAACTCAGTGAGCAAATCGCTCACAGGCCTCAGTGACTCGGTCAGCCAGTACTCTGACGCTTTCCTGGCTGCCAACACGTCTCTGGATGAACGGGAACGTAAGGTGGAAGCTGAAGTCCATGCCATCCAGGAGCAGGTCAGCAGCCATGGCTCAAGGCTTCAGGCTGGCCACAGGCAGGTCCTGAACCTGCGAGGAGAGTTGGAGCAACTCAAGGCCGGTGTGGCCACGGTGGCAGGGAGCCTCAGCCGCTGCCAGGACACAGCCCAGGAACTCCAGCATGCAGTGGGTCACTTTGACCAGCGGGTGGCACAAGTGGAGGGTGCATGTGGGAGGCTGGGCCTGCTGGCCGCCAGCCTGGACAGCTTGCCTGCAGAGCTGCTGAGGTCCAGGGAAGGCCTGTGGGGCCACGTAGACCAGCTGAATCGCACCCTGGCCCAGCACACGCAGGACATTGCCCGCCTTCAGGATGACCTGTTGGACTGCCGGGCCCAGCTGGCTGAGCAAGTGAGGCCAGGGCCAGCCAACTAGGCAGGCTGGACAGGATCTAAGCCCAGATCCCACCAACTCTGGGAATAATGTCCCAGAGCCCTCCTTATACAGCAGCACCTCCCAGCCTTCTCTGTCCAGCCTACATGCCACTTCAGGGGCCACTGGATGAATGGTCTTGTTTCACCTCTGCACAACTGTCCCAGCCATCAAAAGTCAGTGCTTCACAAACTGGACAATTCAGGATAGTGGTCAAGGCAAGGTCATCGTGCCTGAAGGCCAGAGTCACAGCACACATTCCAGAGTCTGCACTTGCTCTTCTGCAGACACACCAGAGTTAGCAGCTGTGCAACTCTGGGCCCATTCTCAGACAGGGACCACCCCCAGTTCCCTCTGCCTACGAGGGGCAGTTAAAGCGCCTGGGGGCTCTGTCACTAATTGTTGTCTTTAGGAAAGTGACTCCCACTGGAACTGTTGTCACATCTGGCAGCTTCACAGATGCCGTTTCTGAAGGACTGGAGACTACCAGGTGTTTCCAGCTCCCCCCTCCCCGTGTCCTTTAGGACAGAACAGCAGCACAGAGATGCAACCTAAAGTTTTCTTTATTCCTTTTGATCCTCCCTCAAGGTGAGGGCACAGGCAGCTGTAGACGCTCACAGAAGGAAGCATTGGATCCAGGCAGTCTGTTTGGACATGATACCCCAAGGTCTCCCTTTCCTTTCCTTCCCTAAACAGGTTTTCAGAGCACTCTGGTGCCTGTAGGGTCCTTTCCTTCCAGTTGGGGGAAAATCTTTCCCCCAGGTCAGTACTTCTCACCCAAGAGTGGCCTTCATGGGTATCAAGGCCTGAAGGAAGCCAGACCCTGAGAAGCAGGCCACAGCTGGAGTTCAAGGGGTCCAGGCCTTGCTTTTAACACCCTTGCCTGCACCCAGCCCTGCCAAAGGTTCACAAAGTGGTGAGAAATTCACAGGACAATTGGAAAAAGCAAGTTGTCCTCAGAGACTCTGGTGTCTGCTGGGGCTCATGGGACTCAGTTTCTCCTGAGTAGCATGGGCCTCCTGTGCTGTTTGCGGGTCCCATAGCCCTGCCTTCTGGTTTCTGGACATTCAGTTTTATGCCCTCCTCTCGGGCACTGTTGGAGGAGGGCAGATTCTGAATTAAAGCTTTTAGCCAGTCTAAGGTGCTTTCTTCAAAGACAGCGTCAGCCTCGCATCCCACAGCACATCAGGCATGTGCTTGCTTAATAGCTATGCACGGAACTGACCAATGGAGGCCAGGGCAGGGTGGTCAGCAAACACCATTTCCCCTGGCAGGGTTGGAGGCTGAGTCCTCAGGGAATGGGCTGAGAGGATCAGGGACATGCTGGAGAGTGGGGATGGGACAAGCAGGAGCCACACTCTCTCAGCCCTCAAGTACCCCTAAATCCCCTTTCCCGGACTTCAGAGGCACCGTGGAGTATCCAGGCCTGGGACTGAGATACCAGGGTACCAGTGAGGGGAAGCAGTGATGCCTGGCTCAAGAACTGTGGACCAGAGCAGGGCCACATAAAAGTCTGGCTTCAGATGGTCCAGGCTAGGGCCCCAGAAGGAGCTGGGGGAGCAGTGTTCTTTCCGGATGCCACTCAGTCACCCCTGCTGCTGCTGACCCCCTCTCTTCCCCTCAAGTCTCAGTGGGGCTTCTCTCTGTCCTATCAGGAGTTGAGGCAAGGTCTCAGGGTAGCATCAAGGGCATAGAGAAGACGGTAAGGTGAGAAACATCTAACTGCCACAGTTCAGGGCCCTGCTGAAGCCTGGAGCAGCTGCTCCACCTGCTTCAGCTCAGAGAGGAGGTAGGGTCCCTGTGGTCACCCGTCCACCTGCAGCCCTCTTCTTCCCCATAGCACCGAGCTTCCAACCCCCATGCCCTAGATACCCTGTCAATCCTGGGCCAGGCCAGGGAGGAGGGGCCTCCAGAGCAGGTTCAGGCAAGGGAGTCAAAGTCCACGGCAGGCAGGGGCTTCCGCCAGTAGCAGAAACTGCTGTATTCAGGGTTGGCCAGGTCTGCGCAGGCTCCACGAGCCACGGGCGGGAAGAGGAGCTCCACCACCTCGCTGAGCCGCTCGTACCTATGGGCACAACAGAGCCTGAGCGGGGGCCAGGCCTCGGCCCCCACCCCGGGAAGTGGGGACTCAGGATCCTGCCGGGGAGGAGGTAAAATTGGGGCCTAGGGAGAGGCCAAGGCATGGGGATGTGGCAGGGCTGGGCCTCACGTGGACTTGTGGTTCTTCATGAGCTCCTGGATGAGCTCTCCACGGGGGTTGACTGTGAAGATCCGGGAATCAGGTAGGCCCACCTGCCGGTAGGCAAAGACATCCTGTGGAGGACAAGGGCAGTGGAACTGAGGCCGCTGGGGCTGGAGAAGGGGGGACTCGGCCCTGGGGAGGGGGCACACTCACGTTGGGCCTGTTGCCAAAGGCTGCGTGGAAGGGTTGTCCATGGGGCAGAAAGAGCTGCTGGATGTCACTCAGGCAGGCGACCTTGAACACCTCTGGCTTCTTCTCGATTACCTCCCTGGGACAGCCATGGCCACCGCCAGGGAAGGAGGCCAAGGAGGAGCAGAAACCAGAGGGGCAGGGGCAGGTGACATGGGGTCTGATCTAGCCCCAGCCGACACCCATGACTGAATGCTGGCCTGGTTGCACCTGTCCCTCCCTCAAGGCCTTGGGCTTGTTTTATGTAGGGGTGGTTACCTGTGGAGGGCCGAGAAGAGGCTGCTGGGAGATAGCAGGATGGGGCCCTTGGGGAGGCCACAGCCGTCCTCGCTCACCCACTGCAGGTAGCCCTTGGTAAGGTCAGCCATGCCGATGGCCCGTGCTGAGCAATACAGGAATTTGTACCCATTTCTGGGGGGTGGAGGACATGTTGGCACAGAGCCATCAGAGACTAGCCACTCTCATCCTGTCCCCTTGGCCTCATCCAGTTCAGCCCAGCCTAACCCTGGGGCTCAGGTCTGCAAACCCAGAGAACTTTGCAGAAGGAGATGGGAGGACTCAGGAAGAAGGGCTAGGCTAGGGCTGAAAGAAGTGACCTTAGGAGCTGTCCTAGCTAAAAGGAACATGGACATAGTTCCGAGGCCCAGTGGACCAGGACGGAGGAGGGCTTACCCCTGGCCTGAGACCAGCCTGCAGACAGCTCACTAGGAAGAGGGTCTCAGTACTCCATGGACCTGCTAATCTGCCTCCCTTGTGGGCTCTGTTGTTTCCCAAACCTGGCTTCCAGGGGCAGAAGTCAGGATGGCCTAAGTACCCTTTCACTCTGTGCCTTAGCCCCAACCCGGCACTCACAGGTGGATTTTGTGGTAGAGACTGGTGATGCCCTGATGTGTCCAGTCTTTCCCCAGCTGGGGCAGAATGTGGCCCAGAGCATCTGACCTACAGACAGAGAAGAAGAGTCACTCTGAGGCTGTCCTACATGGCCCTCCTCTTCCATGTGTATAACCCAGTGGGGCCCAGCCCCCAGCCTCAGGATGGCCTACAGGAAAGGAGGGCCTTCCACACTGTCCCCCACCTCTACACAGACCCAACAGAGTCCCCAGGACCTCCTTCCCCTCCCCCTGGCCAGCTGGGCCTCACTTGGTGATGGTGCCATCAATGTCGGAGATGACCACCTTGTCGTCCCATTTCCACAGGTAGATGGTGGCCTTGCAGCGGCAGGTGCCCTGGTACTGGGTGGTCACACTGAAGACCACATCATTGGCACCTTCATGAAGGTTCAGGCGCCGCTGGGGCCAGGTAAAGAGGGGCACGTTGTGATCCAGTATAGACAGGCATTATCCACCCCTCTCCAACCTTTGACCCCCATGGGCTTCTCATTCTCCTCTTCCTCCCAGCTCAGGAACCTTCCTGAAGATAGCCAGACACACGCATGTGGGCAGAGGATGCTCATGCTGGCTAGGGCCCTGCAGAGTGCAGGGCACAGGAGCCCTAACTTCCCTGTACTCTCCAAGATGAGTCTCAGACAAGCCATGCCTATGATTTGCCCAGGTCAAGGGTCAGCCCAAGGTTGGGGCTACTTTTGGCAGGGAGAAACCCCACTCCACAGATGGAGTCCTATGGGGGTCTTCACAGAAAGCCTAATGTACCTGACTCAACGTTCCCTTAAAGAGAGACCCAGGCCAGCCAGGCATAGTGGCCTATTCCTATCCGCCCAGGAGGCTGAGGCAGGAGGTTTATAAGTTCAAAGCCAGCCTCAGCAACTTAGTGAGGCCCTGTCTCAAAATAAAAAGGCCTGAGCATGTGGTTCAGTGGTTAAGTGCCCCTGGACTCAATCCCCAATACATCCCCCTCCAAAAAAAAACCCGCAGGCCTATATGTGATCCACTGAGAAAAACAGAGGCAGCTGTTTACCAAAGCCAGTTGGCTGACCCTGAGATGTGTGTGAGCTTGCACCAGGCTGGTCAGACCCTCCTAGATCCCTCCTGACCATGGAGCCACACACAAAGAAAAATGTCCCTGTTACAAGTGCCACCCATTATGAGCTTGGGGACCATGTGACTTGAAGGACCAGTGTTGCTAAAATACAAAGGGCTGTTATCAGCATTTGATTCCATTGATATGGCTCCCAAAGGCAAACCCAGAGCCAACCAGGTCACTGCAGGTAGATATCTCAGGAGGATATAAGAGAGGACTTGTCCAATCAGAGCATCCCACAGAGAAATGGGCTGGCATGGGAAGAAGTGAGCCCCTGCCTCTGGCCTTTAGGACAGCTGCCCAATGGATGGATTCTGGCCTTTGGTAACCAGTCTCAGCTCAGCTCTGAAATTCTGGGACAGATTCAGCTCAGCCCTGCTCCTGCTAGAAACACACGTGTGCATATACTTACAATCTGATCAGAAGTGAGGCGCAGGGATTTCTTGTGGGTGAGCGTGCAGGCTGGAGTGCAGGGTGGTGGAAGGGGGACCTCGAGGATCACAGGGCTGTCTGGGGCATCGTCCTCGCTGCTCAGGACTTCAGTCTTCTCCCTGCAGGCAGAGCGGGCACTCAAGCCACCTCCCCCATGCAAAGGTGCTTCCCTTAAGTAGGTGCTTACTCTTGGCCCAGGCCCTGAGCCCGCCTGGAACCTGTCCCTGACACTCCCAAGGCTGCACCTCCCTCTAGGTGTCACCTGTGTGGGGTGGTGACAAACACCTGGGTGATGGCTGGCAGTATCCACCCCAGCAGGTAAAAGCAGATCAGGGCCCAACCTCAGTGTGTCTCCACTGCCAGGACGCAGGGCCTGCTCTGGAGATGCTTATGTGGAATAATAAGCCCCTAATGTGTGTCTTGGAGCTTATTCCCAGGCTCCCCTTCTCTGGCTTCAGCCAGCCCATCCTCAGGAGGCTGAGTCGCATCAGAGGTGAAAAAAGGAGGCCAGATCAGCCCATCCCTGTGGGATAGGGGAGAGAGTGGCTTCATCCCTCTTCAGCATCGCAGCCGCTTATCTGAGTGCCTGTTCCAGCCCTGCCATTTCCTGGCTGAGGGACATTCGATGTGTCTCTAGGTCCCAGTTTTCCCATCTGTGAAGTGGGAACATTCTCAAGGAAAAAGAACCATGGCCTGGCCCCAGACCCCAGCTGCAAAGTCACCAGCGGGTCCAACTCACCCCTGCTGCTCCCTGGCTGTGGTTTTCTCCCTCTGGGCACTGCGCTGTAGGAAGAATATCCATCACTGGACGGCCTCCAGCCCTGTGCTGGCCCCACCTCCTGAACCATGACCACCTACCTCCTCTGCTGGGAAGTCCCTGCGGCGCCAGGAAAACCACCACCGCCCACCCTTCCGGGGCATCTTCTCCTTCTCCAGCTTGTCCACGGTACTCTGTGGGCAGATAGAAACCATGGCCGTTCTTTGTGTACCCCACACACCTTCCTTACACTGCCCTTGGGACTCCCACAAGCCCAGAGTCTAGGCCAACCCTTCGGCCAGGTGCTGTCAACATCTGGGGGCTGAGAAACCGCGTTCACTTTCCTCCTGAGAAGTGGTGACTCATGGAGCTGTGCGTAGGAAACTAAGGGCCATTCCCATCCCCCAGCCTGACCCAGTCCAACCGCAGCCTGCCCTCCACATCTTGTGAGTCAGTCCCCTTGCTAGAGGGCCAGAAGGTAGAGCTGCTTTGGGAGTTTCTCAAGAACTGGTCCTCCACAGGTGATGCTGCCAAATGGCG